ATACAATGGAAATAAGTAGTCCTCTCTGGTTAGGTCGACCTTCGGATTTATTCTTCATGCACCTTCATACGAAATGAAAGTCACTACAAAAAAAATCGAAGTAGCTCGAGGGAGATTATGTAAAACAATGCTGGTGTTCGCGAATAAATATTTGAAGTTCATTAGTACATATTCGCATTCTTGATGAATAAAAGTTTTATTAATAATCTTTGAATATGATACCCGCATAAAAAACATTTGCAAAATGTAATGACATCGGATATTTAGCATATTATAATAGTAACAATTAAACGTAATTTTCAGGTAATATAGAGAAAATAAATAAAACTTGCAAGGGAAATTTAGGAAAGTCTCCGATAGTAATTCAGTGATAAAAAATTCGCTATTAGTTTAAAATAATAACACCACGCGAATGATTTACCTTATTTGCTTGGCCTATTCTATGCGCTCGCGAAAATGCCTGTATGTCATTATGCGGGTTCCAATCAGAGTCGTAAATGATAACGGTATCGGCAGTCGCTAAATTGATTCCAAGGCCGCCTGCGCGGGTGGAAAGAAGAAAGACAAATGAAGGGGAATCGGGAGCATTGAAGCGATCTATAGCATCCTGTCGCATTTGACCAGTAATAGCACCATCAATGCGCTCAAATTTGTAGCTCTCAGCCTCGAGGAAGTCTTCTAGAAGATCGAGCATTTTGGTCATTTGGGAAAAGATAAGAACTCGATGCCGATCGACGTACAAGCGACGCAACATTTTATACATAAGCTCCAATTTTCCCGAGGCTTTGCGTATAGCGTGGCCCTCAAAGGCACCATTAGGAAGACGAGGCGCCTCTTCTGCAGCCGAAGGGAAGAGGAAGGGGTGATTGCAGCACTTCTTTAGATCCATCATGATGTTAATTAGCGATACCTGAGAGCCACCGCTGCGACAACTTAACGCCTCAAAGTTTCGAGTCAAAATGAACTTGTAGTACCGCCTAAAAAGATGAGAATAAATGAATAAAATTGCGATTAAATGACAAATGAACTCTGAAGCCATTTATGCTTCTTGAAGCGTGATGTCTCAACAACTTAATACTTGTTCGATCTTGTTTCCCCAGTGGCTGTTTGGTTAGGGTGACCAAAAATAAACATATCTTGTCATGAACCCATAGTATCCATAATGAATTCCAGTCAGAGGATGTACTTTGTACATTGCAATACATTTCGTTGGCATCGTAGTCAGCATCTTCAGTGAACCTAACAATTCGTAGCATCACACCATAACGTATTAGAGACAAGTTGTAGTATCTCTCTTTCTGTTATAGGTATTCACATATCCTATATCCTAACATCACACCCCTTGTTATAAGAATCTTTTACTGGCTAATCTAAAAATATTTTAGGTGTGCACTTTAGGCTTGATTATTTAGACTTTTCCACACTACCCGCTAGTTCCCTTATCTCCCTTACTGTGCCGGAAGTGATGATCCAAGTATGTCCTACTAATCAACAATCCTCGTCATTTAGGTTCTACCATAGTCCCCATATTGCCAGCAGGATCCGCCTCTTATCTCCCAGGTTAAGTGATTTCACTCGATCCCTGTCACTATATCCGTGCTACTCGAAGCGTTATGTTGTACACTCTGTCTTTGATAATAAATATACTCCTGCCCAACTGAGCAGGCCATCAAAGTCTGTATTCTCATTCTGGATGAATGACGCTGCTCACTTATCGCCATTCGGCATGTGCATCAGGAAAAGAACTCGTAAGGACGTAATAGAAGAAGAATTCGAAACTAAAAAGAGCCTAAACAAAGCAGCTATACGATTTGAGAGTTGACACACAAGAATGGGGCATAAGAAAGTCATAGGCTTGGCGTTAGGGGTAGATGGACGAAACATGCGGTGGAGTCCAAGGCTGATTGGCCAATAATTGACGAGTTTGAATATAAAAGTAATCCGTGAAATAAGAGCTAGATCACGAGATTTACCCGATGCGCATGCCAAACTGTTAAGTTAAATTTCCTCTCAGATTGAGAATCCAGACTGGGGGCCTGCTCTGTGAGGCAAAAGTATACATGCTATCGAGGACTTGGGAGAGAGCGTAGAACCTTAAGAAACCTGTGGTAACTAAGCTGTTACTCATGAATTACTGAGTGGGATCTTCATTTCGTATAAAAGTGCATGAAGAAGAGATTCGTTGGTCGATCTCACCAAATGAGGACGGATGAACCACGTTGTACTGCAGCCGTTTGATTTTTATACGATATTCATGTTGACGCAGTCCATGGGACTTCCTCCCTCGTTTCGGGTGAAAACGTGGTGAGCTATCGCCCATCATATGATGGACATCATCAGAGCTGGGTGCCATTCTTGTAAAAGTCAAACGTTAATACTAGGCCAAGAAGATTATCCGGCTTTTTCTTACCTTTTATATAGACACCCGAAATGAGGGAGGAAATCTCGTGAACTGCGTCAACATCAATATCGTATACAAACCAAACGGTTGCAGTACGAGGTCCATGCGTCCTCATCTGGTGAGATAGACTAACGAATCTCTTCTTCATGCACTTTCATACCAAATAAAGGGCCCCCCAATAATGTTATTTCAGGAGATTAATCGAAACCAAGTTTCTCTTCGTGTCTAAAACTAGTAAGTGACAATGTTGCTTTTTTTAACAAGTCATAGGCAGAATTAGTCACAAATTTAAGTTGGAGAGCCTTTGACGCTTAGTATGAGGCATGGTAATCATAATTGAGTTTTAGCAGCACCAAAGCAGAATCGACGCCTGGGAGCATATAGAACTAGAGATATTGTAGGCTCAAAGCCTCCTAAAATTGAATCCATAGGCCCGCCTCGCAAAAAGTACT